GAAAAATGAAAATGCCAGGGGTAGAGACCACCGGCAGCCGTGAGGACTTAGAACAATGCACACTGGCAAATTATTTCAGAACTGCAGCTTCTCAGCCGGCCTTATTCCTTACCAGGAGATCTTGACAGCAGGGTCTAGGAATGTTCAAAGCCAGTCTTGCTTCTGACCTCCTCCTGACCTGCACCTGGTGACTTGCTGACACAGGTGACAACAGAGACAATTGCAGGTACCGCCCACATTGGGTCCCCCCTCCCCCCCACGCTCCTGCCCAGCTGACAAAGAAGCAAGGCCCCTGCCCCCCACAGCACTTATCTTTCTCAGGACTTACAAACAGATGCAGATCTAGTAAACACCTGCTCTCCAGCTCAGACTTCTGGGTGGGGATGCTGACCTGGCACCATGGTCTCTATGTCTTTCATGGAGGAATTGACCCTGCAACGCGGTGTAGGATTGGGGGGAGCTGTTGTCAGCCAGGAACCAGCAGGTAGTATGCCACTGGCTGCTTGTGGGTATGCCTTATGGCGAGGGTTTAATATCTGCTTGGACAAATCCTGGTGACACAGTATGGAACTGGGCAAAGGCCCTTATCCTCCCCCAAATAGTGCTCAGCCTCAGCACCAAGGTCGCCTTATTTTTAGGGCCATGTTGCTGGCTATGTCTGGGATTTTCTGCAGTCTTCGTCTTTTCCACTGTGACATTTCAGAAGACTCTTAGGTGACTGGACTCAAAAGTCGACTCCATGGACAGGGGTGGTCAGCTTTTGGAGATGCGCAAAATTCTAGAATCAAATCTACTTCTCACTCTAAATGGGCTAGCTGAGGTCTTAGATTAAAATGGGTACATGAGATCCATATGAATGGAAACCTTTGAAGATGGTGGAAACAGAGAAGATTCCATTGGGGAACTGATAATGGGATGGACAAGTAGGGAAGGGTACGCAATTTATACTTTGTCCTCTTAGGTTTTAATTAATACCCCTCTTTCACCAGAAGAGTTTGCCAATTAAAGGCCAGTCTCTCTTGATTCCTTTGCTTTAAAAAGGACATTCTGATTCACCCAGGCAAGCAATTACCTCCCCCCCCCGCCGCCACACACACACACACACACACACACACACACAGCCCCACTCCCAAGTCTATTCCTTCCCAAAGCTCTGAGCAAGCTGAGTCCTAGCTGCTCCTAGCACCCAGCATAGAGCCCTGGCTGGGAACTAGACTCAGGTACTCATCTGCAGTCATCAGAATGCCGAAGATTATCTAGGGAGGTCAACCCTGGACCCCAAGCCTATTCCTTCATTGATAGTGGAAAACACTGTTTAGATTTTGTCTTTTCTGGGTGTGCAACTAACAGTAACTACAGGGTTTCTCCCTGGAAGACACTGGATCTAAGTACCCACCCCCAACTCCCAACCTCCAGTCCCTTTCTCTCTTTCTTCCCTCCTTCGTTTTCCTCCTCCTCCCCATCTCTCCTCCTCCCCCATTCTTCCCTCCCTTCTGTCTTATTCTTCCTTCTCACACCTCCTGAAGGGCAACTTGCTTGCATTTCCTTTACTTTATACCATTTTTAGTTAACTCCCTCCCTCTAGCAGCTGGGCACTAAGCCTTCATCTTAAGGTGCTCATCACTCCTAAAGGGCAACCGACCCCAGGCTTCCCAATCTGTAAGGAAAGTGTTCTTTTGAACCTTTTGTTCTGCAAAACCTGGCAAAAATACTCAGGGGGACTTCCCAAGTGACGGGTCCATTCCTCCTCATTCCCTTGCCCCATCCAAGACCCAACAGACTTTAGGGTTAGTCTTTAATAACCTCCTTGCAGAACAAAGTTGGGGCACATGTGCCATATCTACAATCCTCATTGTACCCATACAAGGCAACCTTGGGTCCTCCAATCAGGTATTTGGGGAGTGGGGAACGTCAAATAAAGTGGCAAAGCCATACTCTGAACATTGCATTTTCATGACCTTAACAAGATCCCCATTTGCTCCTCCCTTAGAAATGGAAAAGGGAGAGATGTTTGATGCTCAATATTGCCAGCCACCAGGGGCCCTTTCCTTCCTGCTCTACCTTAAACTCGCCAGAAGGGATTGCTCTGGTGAGGCGGATACATTGTCATCTGTTTGTGTAAAGCAGATGTAATTGTCGGTCAACCAAAGCAATACAAAAATTTAGTACATACTTTGAAGGATTATAACTTAAAATTCAATAATTATGTTTCAGAAAGCTAAATGTGTGAGTTTCTCTCACCTTCGGACAGTTAATCTGGAGTGGTTGGTGGGTGTTTTTGTTTGTTTGTTTGTTTTTGTTAAATTTAGAAGCTTTCTCTTCCAAGGCTGATGTAATAAAATGGAACTCCTGTCATATTTGTCTAGCCTCCGTTCATGGAATAAAAATGTACTTTTCCAATGAGATCACCTCGGCTCTATTCCTGAATTGCTATTATCAGCTAACCACAAGCAAAAGCGCCTTCAAATGTCGTCAGTTTGAAATCAGTTCTTCCCAGCATGCAAAACTCCTAGCGCTTTTAAATCTAAGAAGTCACTAATGGTGCCAGTGAAATAACTAATAAAAAATAAAACAAAAAGCACTTTCAACTTACAGGTTTTCAAAGTTTAAACTAGAAGTAGTTTAACAGTATGGCGTGTTCCACAGCAACGAACAGCAAGCAGGTAAAATTTTTTTTTTTCAGTGAATGATGAGGCTTGAGGTGTAGTTCAGTTGGTAGACTGCTTGACTAAAACGGGCAAGGCCTTGAGTTCAATCCCCAGGGCTGGAATAAAAAAAAAAAAAGCTACATATTGTGTTTAGAAAAATAGAGAATTGCTCTTGATATTAGATAACACTTTTTAATATAAAGATTCCCTAGAGAAACCAAAACATCAAACTTCTTTGCTCTTTTCATTTTAAAAGATAGTTTTCAAAGAGGTTACAAAAAGGCATTTGAAACTTTAATGTTTTGGGCCCATCTATCTGCCTGTTCAATCATTCTCAACTATTTCTTTCTATGATGTTTGGAGCACCTGGTTCATACCCTGAGCAATACAGAGAAGAAAGACTTGGCTCTCTTCACACTGGTGTTTGGTGTGTTGCTGTTCACAGCCGACTGACACACTCTGTTCCCATTGTCACTGGCAGCACTATGTACTTTTGATATGAATAAAACGAATTACTCACTTGTATTTTATAAACTTTCTCTTAATTGTATGTTTGACCAAAAAAGGTCAATGCTAGCTAAACCATTCTTGCAAAGACTCTTAGAAATATTTCTTAATACTTTGCTTTTTAGAGCTAAAATAAAAACTACATTAAGAAATTGCTGGAGGAAGCACGTTTATTTGTTATTTTTAGATTGTTTAGAAAAGTTCGGTACAACATTGAAAATATTTCTGGACAAAACTACAAATGTTCTCTGTGGAAAGGGGATTCGTTCACCTTTTAGTCTCATTAGGAGTGCGAGGTGACTGTCCTGAACTTTCCCCATACTGGTGCCCAGGACCCACATTAAACAACTCACCACCTCCCAAGCCCAGGCAAGGCCACGCTAAGCTTTGAAAAAACAATTTAGGGGAAACTTGCTGATATTTTTTAGCACACAGTAAACTCCCATGACACTGAGACAGAAATTCTGTTTGGTGCAAGCGGCAAAAAACACAATCTATCAGTGTTTACATGTGTATTCAGCCATGAAATTGAATACTATCAGAGTTGGAAAATGCAAATCAAATTAAAAGCAGAGAAAATTGCCTTTGGAATTATAGTACCCGGGAGTTCCAGAGTGTTTGCTTAAATGGAAATATTTTTTTAAAATAACGGAGAGTGTCTAAATTGCCCTCTCACTCGTCGTCTCCCCACTTCTGGACCGATTCTTTAATTTTACCAGAAAATATCGTCCATTCTGGGTACAAACCGTCCATCACTATAACAAATCACACTTTGTTTTTCCAGAACATAGCTTTTCTTAAATATCAAATTGCCCCCGTTAAGCCACGTGTCCCTAAAATCAGGCTTGCTTCAGCATCCCCGATTCATATTCGGAGCTGAGCAGAGCTTGCTGTACTCCTCTGGCACGCTCAGAAGTGCGCGGCGCGTGCAGGCGGCCCCGGCCCTAGAAGCCACACAACTTGCTTGGGCCAGGACTCTGAATCTGTGGATTGGCGAGCCGGGCCGCCGGTGCGGCCCTGGTGGTTTCCAAGTAGCCGACCACTGCAGATCAAACTCCTGAGAGACAGCGGGCCCAGGTGGAATGCTTCTCTTCTGGGCTCTCACAGTCCACTGGGACTCCACAGGGCCAAAAGAAAAGGAAAACGCCCGCTTAGTGTCGGGGAGAACGGGAAAATAAAAGAGCGAGAGAAGCAGGATCGCGGCAGGTGAGAGGTGCAACCTTTGGCCCAGCAATCCAAGTTTTAGAATGTGGAGAACCCACCCTTGTCGGCCTTGATAGCCCATAGCCTTCCGGGCGAGACCAGACCTACTCCACTGTCCCCACAGTGGGCACTTTACTTCTCTTCCACCCCTCCCCCACGTCCTTCGGGCCCCTGGGAAAACCAAACTTAGTCTCTGCTTCAGGTGCCAAGGTCAAGCAGCTTTCAGAAACAGTCTTGGGCCAAGTGTCAGCCAGAACAAGGCAGCCACGTCCACCTGGGTTCTAAGTGAGGGGTGCTGGGGACCCCCGCAGGGGCCACGCTGTGGGTAGAATAAACTTTCATGTTACTTGGTGACCTCTGAAGATTTTAATTTCTCCCATCCGACACTTGCCCACCCCCTCTGGTCCCAAAGATCCTTGACTCTAGCCCGCGATCGCAAAGAGCAATATCACTTTTTCTTCTCTGGGGAGGAAGATAGTTGAGCGGCCTGTGTGTCATTTTTTCCTCCTTCCTGGCTATCCCAGACCTGGTGGTCCGATTGCCAGCCCCAGTTACAGAACGATAACTCCTGTCCAGCCGTGGGCAGCAGCGGAAGCCGGTTTTCACTCAAAACTTGCCGGTCTATTTTTTTTTTATTTTCAGGAATCCCAACGGTGCAGAACTGTGCCACCGCGCCTAGAAGACAGCCTGAGGCTCCTGGGCAGATCCCGTAAGTTCCAGTTGGGGAGATTCCGGAACCCTATGCCAAAGAGTGTTGCGCTGATCGCGTGTGTGTGTTGTTTTCAAAACCAAGCAAAGGAAACAGCAGCCAATTAAAATGAAATATTTTCAGTTCCCTCCTACGTTGTCAGTGATTTGCCCCCGGGGATCCACAATTTTTCCCAAGCCTGTTAACGGGTGACAATGAATGAGTGCCTCCTGTAATTTAATTTTCCTGTCACACTAAATAGAGCTACATTGTAAACCTTAGATCTACTCTTACTGATAGCATCGCCTTGTTTTGTCATTTACACCATAAAGACCCCCAAAAGGGACACTGTATTGTGACCGCCACTCTTGAATTATTCAAGAACTTAATGACATTTTCCATTTTAAAAAGCGAACTAATTGCCATTGATGCGAAGCATGTGACCTTCTCGGGTGCCCAGTATGAGAATGTTACCATCTGTACATCCACACATAGCCACAGAACAGCAAAAATAGGGGGAAAGGTAAACAAGCTGGATTAAAAATGAACACTGAAAATCACCCTTATTATTTAATTCCATCCAAGCCAGAACATAGAGTTCCAAAACTCTCTTCACTTGACCAAAAATCTATGTCCAACATGTCATCAGTAAGGCCCACTTTGGGAGACCTGCGGTGACTTTTTAGTTAGGATAAATGTAGCTGTAGCTGTGATTCTGAAATCAAGTATCCTTTCTTAGATGTGAAATTACTTTTTGTCCTGATTGAGCGGTCTGCCCTCACCCATTGCTGACTTCTTCATTTAATTATTTATTTATTGGAAAGGAAAAGGAACTCAAATTATGAAGACAGTTCACCTCAGTATTTACTGTTTGAATCTATCATGAGTCCTCTGCAAAACCAGGCTTGCAATTCTTCATTTGTATGGCTTCTTAAATTATTGAAATGGGTGTTTATCCCTTTTGTAAAGTAGAGAAGACAGATAGTGTGTTTCCCACAGTGTTCATGCCTTTTCCCTGTTTCCCAGGAAAGCAGAGAGCATATATGTGCTTCCATCAACATCCTGTAACTTCATAAATACACATACATCGACAGAGGTCCTTGTGTTCCTGAGCTGATTGACAGCCGCTAAGAACCATTTGAAAGGTGTGAAGGAGCGTTAATAAGTTCAGGAGCAAAACAGTTCCCTGTGCTGGGCTCCAGAAAATACCCTGAAATTTTAAGTCATGGTTGAGATGAGGCATGGAGATTTCTGCAGAAAACCACAGTGCCTTTCGAATCTACAGCCTCAAACATGCATCCAGCTTAGCAGAGAGTTGAATATCCTGTGCTGGGCTGTGAATCACCACCTCCTCCCATCCCCCCGCCCTCTCTCAGAGTTTCTGGAAAGAGGACCAAGATATGTGTGAACGTCATCAGTATAGCCATGTCTCTGACGCAGCTGTTCTGGGGCAGTGTGGGGGCAGTGTGGCTGATCAGCTGGGGGAAGTACAGTAAATGCTTTGTTAAAGAGCGTTGCTTAGAACAGAACAACTGTTTTCATTTTTCCTTAAAAGAAACACGTTCTCTCCTTGGCGACATGTGCTCTTGTGTTCAGTAACAAGAGAGAAGAAATTCATTAAAGATACGCAGGTTCTGGGTTATTTGTTTATTTACTTTGAAGGGCTGAGGCTAAAAACTAGGCCTCCTATATCTAAGCACATGCTGTATTACCCAGCCACTCTCCTAGCCCACATAGCTGTGACTATTAAATAATAAAGACATTGAAGAATGTAATATAATGTGATAAAAGCAGCCCTTCATGGATCATGTGTTAAAAATCATTTTAGAAATTATGTATTTATGTATTTCTGTGCTTTTTTTTCCTTCATGAACAGCTTGTAGACTGTAAGAACAGATTGAATTATCAAGTGTCTCATGTCTGAGCTCTATTGTATTCTACAGTGAGATTACTCAGGAATTCGGTATGCTATCAAAATAAGAATTCATTTACCTTTCTATTCTTTGGACGCAGGATTACTTGAAGGCCACATCAGTACTGTGGAAAGATCTAGGCATCTTCTGGATACAGGGTTTCTCTCTTCTGGCTCCATTTCTAGAACTTACTGTCCTGAAGAAGTGTTGGTGTTGGCATTTCCTAGAGCCTGGTGTGGCGATTTCATTCTTATCTAGTCCCTGGTTCTAGGGGGTGCGGGAGAACTTCTGACAGAGGACCGTGCTTAACTCAGTTGCACTTAATCTCGGCCTTCTGCCTCCCAGTGAAAACCATCTCTGGAAAAGCATCCCCATTTGACTTCTATGGAAGAGCCACAAGATAGACAGAAGCCTCCAGCTCTGCATCTGTGAAATGGATTTTTCATTCTTTTGATCTCTTATTTCTCCATCAAACTCATTGTGAAGGGATTCGCTGAGACTTTTCTGTTAGGCGAGCCATGTTTCAGCACTCTTGCTTGTGTTTGGAATTGCTGCAAAGTTGAGTGTGCATGTTCTGTGTTTGGGTTCTTTTTTTTTTTTTTTTAATACCATGCACACTTGGGAAAGGATGAATAAGGCCATTATTTTGGACAAAAAAATAGTTTCGCTTAAACCTAGGCAGACACACCATCAGACTATTTCCCAGGTTCTAAAAGGGTCCAAAAATTACACCATACAATCAGCTGGCTATCTTGTCTCTGTCGCTTTAATTCCAGCAAAGAGTTACATACAAGCTCTCAGCATGGCTACTTAGGTTCTCTTTTCTGTACTGAGCTCTGTAAGCCTCAGAACTACTAACACGTGGTTTCTTAAAATTCCAGAACTGACAAAGTCATCAGCCACTCTCTGCCCTTCCATATTTAATTGAATGTCTGCACTTAGACATATTTACTGGACTTCTGAGTGTCTATGTTTCCTTCCCTGGAAAATAGCATCAAGATAGATTTGCTGTGGTTACCAACAATACCTTTAAAGGAAATGCAGTTCTTCCTGTTTTGAAAATACTTGTTTCATAAGCATGGATTCTGTTGCAACTCCGGGTCAGGATTCTGATCAGACATGGAGCATTGTTTCAGCCAAAGATAGTTATTATATTACTTAGCAGTTACAGCGTCCAGCTTGAGCAAATTGCACTGTGGAAATAGGAATCCCTGTTCGTTCTAGTACATTTTTTAAAATAGAGACCAGGGGGATATAAAACCCCTCTTTGATTTTCTATAGACTAAGTGAAAGTCATGTGTTTGTTTTTTGCTTGTTCTTTTTGGTGCCATTTTAAGTAGCTAATTAAAGCATTGATAAAAATCTATCTGGGTGAATTAGAGTAGGAGGGATCATTTCTGTAGTGAGGATACAGGGAGCCTCACACAAGCCATCAGAAGGATTCTCCCTTTTTCCTTTTTCATACAATTCTACCAGGAACAGGGGTACTTTTCTTTGTTGTTTGTTTGCTTGGTTTGGTTTTTCTGGGTAGCCCCGACTGCCCTGGAACTCACTCTGTAAATGGTAGCAAGATTGGCTTTGAACTCAGAGATCCTTATGTCTCTGCCTCCCAAGTGCTGGAATCAAAAGTCTCTCTCTCTCTCTCTCTCTCTCTCTCTCTCTCTCTCTCTCCCTCTCTCTCCCTCCCTCCCTCTCTCTCTCTCTCTCTCTCTCTCTCTCTCTCTCTCTCTCTCTCTCGCCTCTAGTTTGTGATCCTCCCCCCTCAGCTGCTAGAGTGCTGGAGTTACTGTTGTCCGCTCTCACCCCAGGCCCTTCTCAGCTGGCTGCGCTCTTGTTTTCTCTAGATTTGCTCATTCACAGCTACTGGAACAAAAAGATGAGCCAGAGGAAGGACACTGGCAGGACTGTTTGCCTAAGAGCACCATGGGACTTAGGAAGAACAGAAGCTTCTCCCCACGCTGAACTTTGACCCTCACAAGAATGTCCCCAAAAGGCCATCATGACACTACAGTCAGATAACCCTGCATACTCTCCCAGGTGTTTACTACATCTAACCAGAGGAATGAGACAAAATGAGGGTGGCTCAGAGCCAAGTGGTGGTGGGCCTGCCCCAGGTGGGTGCCTTGCTGAACGCAAATGCAGACACAAGGGAGTGTCGGCCATGAGAATTGTCAGTGGAAAGATCTTAAAACAGAAAGTGTCCATTTGACCTCCTTGCAGAACTGAAGTTATCCAAGTTATTTAATCTCCCCCAGAGTTGCCAAATCTTATGAGAAATAAACAATGAGGTGTGTGTGTGTGTGTGAGAGAGAGAGAGAGAGAGAGAGAGAGAGAGAGGAGAAAGAGAGAGAGAGAGAGAGAGAGAGAGAGAGAGAGACTCATTGTTAGAAATCTTTAACATCAGACCCAAGGTCTGACCCGAGATAGGAGTCCTCTTCTATGCCCAGGAAGTGTCTACCAACTCAAGAGTGATTCTGTGATGGGAGGTGCCTGCTTACCCACACCAGGGGAACCTTTCTCTGTTGGTTTGACCAATGTTGTAAGTTAATTTATACTTCTCAGAAAGGTGAATAGGGACAAGCATAGAAAAAGCTCCTGGAGGACTCTCTTGGGAGGGTAGGGCAGGCTGGCCATTTTTGGAGCTTTTGCTCCTCAACCCAGGAGGATTTACAAAAAAAAAAAAATAACAAACAAACAAACAAAAAACCCAACCCCACTCAGCATCTATCAACATCTATTGAGTATTCGGGGAACAAGGTGATGCTTTTCTGCCTTGCCAGTGTGGAGATATTTTTACTGTTCCTCATTCCCAGGTGAAGAACATACAAAATGAAACCCAACCTGCTTAAAATAAAACACACCAACCCCAGCATGCAGCCTGCCACCTCCCCTTCCTTTACAAGCTGGGGCGCTTGCTGAGTGAAGGTTTATATGTGTGAATTTTCAGGGTGCTTTGTTCCTGTGGAGAGGATTCCAGAGGCCCTTAAAGTCCTCAGTCTTAACAGGGGAAGTCTTTCCTCCAACCCCTGCCCGCCTTGGGGAGGTTTGGTTGGAAGAAAACTGACCCTGAGTGCACTCTGGGCAAACTAGGGTGAAAGACCTGATATGGTCTGCAGGGTACTTATTAACCATCGTTCATTTGCAGGATCGATACTTCTGGCAAAGGAGTCAACACTGAAGATATACCACGTTGTCTGGCTCTTTCCTTGACACAACAATTTATTTAATAAATGCATCTCCTGCAGAAGAAGGCATCAGGCACTGTGTCTTTTATCTGCAGGATATGCAAAGCGCATTTATTCAGCTTTTATCTCTGGAATTGTATGCTGATCCCATACATATAGATTGATTTTGTTCAGGTAGATAATGAAAAGTCAAGTGGAAAATTACACAATGGCACTCACGATCCTGGTCTTATATCGGTATATAAATTGGTTTATTATTTCATTCTATTAAAGGGGCTGCCCCCCTCCCAGGAAAACTTGAAAACGCACTGTATTGTCTGACTGTCTGGATTTTCTTGGGAGAAGAAGGTTGAAAGGAGAGAGAAGGCTCAATGATTTTCATTCCCCCCCCCCCCGTTCTTTTGGTTAATTGTGCAAGATAAGTAAGCAGCACCCAAGGGTGTCCTGGGAACTGTCTGCTTCCCGCAGCCCACTTCAGAGTCAAGCTGGGACTTCTGTGATTTAGATTATTAGGAATGAGAACAAATCTGCCCTTCACTAGCATCCTGTTACAGAGGTGTCTATTTTTGCCAAAGACAATTTATAATTTTGTCCTGGTGACTGAAAGTGGCAACTCCCTTTGGAGTGTGGGGAGGCCAGGGGTGAGAGGGTGGTAGCAGGGAGAGGCGTCCACCCAGGGACAGCTCTGAGCTGGAATCCTGGAGGAAACGTTATCAATAAACATCTTCTGGACATTTGGCAGCCCGTGGAGCTTGCTCCAGCTTAAAGCAATTAATTCAGGACACCGACATCAACTCTCCAGGTCTTTGACAGCTTGGAGCCGAAATAAAAATGCTAGTTCTCCGGGGAAGAGGGGAGGAGGGCCCGCTCTTTGCTGGACTGTTTGCTTATGGGCCCAGCGAGCAACCTTCCCTGCAGAATGAAATGCAAGGTCGCACACAACCAACCGGCAGAGAATAGAAGATGGGAACGAACAGTTTGAACTATTTGCTCAGCAGAAGGGCACCACAATGCTGGGGTAGTGGCTTTCCCATGCATCGACTGTCCCTTCTTTGGGATCTTTTGTTGTTCCTGTCTCCTTTGGCCAGATAAGAACACAGCTGCAGCCTTGCAGCTAAGTAAGGCTTCACTTATCCCCTTAAATCTCGGGGTGTCTTTACTGTACCAGGCATAGACCAGCTTTTTTCTTTTTTGACCAGAGGACTGGGAGGGAGGGAATGAAGAATTGAGGGGGAGGGGACAGAGAGAGGACTTTCACATTGCCCATGTCTGGTTTATGCCTTTCTTTCTCTCCTTTTTAAACCCAAGCTGGGATAAGATGCAATCTTTGTGGGCCAGTTTTATTGAACGGTCAGTGTTTTGTGCCAAAAAAGGCTGCCTTCTAGGGGAGGGTTGTTTGTGTATGCTGTGTAGTGAAGACTAGTTTTGAAGCTGCTTTACGGCAATTTCAGATTCCTTCAGCAGCTAAAAAGAGGGCAGAATTCGAAGGAGTCGATTTTAAAAATTGGACAATTACAATTCTCTGTTTCTGAAAATCATTTCGGGCTCTTCTTCCTACAGTTCATTTGTTCCAAACTGTATAATGCTAGTTATGTCTTATTAAGAACAGGATGACCTGGAGATGGGGGGAAAACGTGCATTTGTATTTGCTGTAAATTGCACTTAAGTATCAGAACCATGCTCTCCCACACTCATCCTCACAGGCCTGGAGAGATGGCTCAGTGGTTAAGAGCACTCGCTGCTTTTCCAGAGAAACTTGGGTTCAATTCCCATCACCCACATGGCAGCTCATAACTCTCTGTAACTTCAGTCCCAGAGGCTCTGGCACCCTCATACAGACATACATACATGCAAGCAAAACACCAAGACACATAAGATAAGAATAAATAAATCACTAAATAACATTTTGTTTTGTTTCTTTTTATTTTGTTTTGTTTTGTTTTGTTTTGTTTTTCGAGACAGGGTTTCTCTGCCGCTTTGGAGCCTGTCCTGGAACTAGCTCTTGTAGACCAGGCTGGACTCAAACTCATAGAGATACACCTGCCTTTACCTCCCGGGTATTAAAGGCGTGCGCCACCACCGCCCGGCCTACATAACAATTTTGAAAAAATTACAGCTCGTGTCTTAATCATCACAAAAGAAAGCGGGCATGAGCCTAAGCTCTACTTTACATTCAAGCTGATTTTTCTGGAGTTAATTCAAAGTCAAAACCTGAGGTTTTGCACTGCTGCATGGTATGTTCCGACTTGGTGGGTTTTGCCACAAGTTGGCTTTAGAAGTGAGGTTCCTCTGATGTTTATTTCTATTAAAATAAGGTTGATTTAGCATAAATGATTTTATAAGGTGAAAAGGCAAAAAAAATTTAACACCAAAGAAAATGGTTTGCTACGACCGCATTGAAATTCACTGCTAAAGCCCACCTGACGCACGTTTCGGTGCTTTACAGGCTTGAATGACTGTGTCTGTTTTTCCCACTGACAAAACTGGTGGGGAAAAGCCTCTTCCGTCTATTTTTCCTGCTGGGTGGTCAGAGGGAAAGGCCAGGAAGCCAAAGGCCTCCCATTGAGACCCTCTTCTGTAAGAGGCGACCTCACATGGTGCTTCTGGGGCACCTGTTCATCTCTACTCACTGTGGGTGTGAGCTGTGAGCAGGCAGCCAGAGGCCACGTGTCACCTCCCCTTACTGCTGCGGTGCTCTCCTGCAGGGAAACTGCCACCTACAACGCCGCCGTCACCTTGCAGAGCCTCTAACACGTTCACAAGCTGTTATTCAGCAAAGCTGGAAAATGATTTTGATGCCAGTGAGTGTTACATTTTATGGTGTGTGTGTTTCAGGGAGAAAGGGATGCCTAGACATTTGCGAATGCTTGATGACACCATGAAAAGTCCAAAATAAAGGATTCTATCAAATGTCATCTTTTGCTATGATTTTCTACACACATATGAATGTGTAAATAACCTTAAAAAATAAGTACTGACACATTCAAGTCCTGTTCCAATTCTTTCATTTTTCTTCTGTAAGCAGACATTAAAAATTTTTGTATTCAGTGCCCACCTCCATTATATCCTATAATAAAGGTACATTTTTTTTTCCAATTACATTTGCAGGCTACATGTGTTCTATCTCTCCATGAACTGAGGCTGTAACTGCGAATATTACCAGCCTAGATAAGTGTATTCGTTTTTCTTTCTCTAACTCTGGCCCCACACTGTGGTCCGTCCCCCCCCACCAGCGTGGTTTCTTAACATATCTAAAAATCATGGTGAATCACGTTGGATAATTCATCTAAAAAGATTTTCTTTCTCCGGAGCCTGTGGCTTTCCACACAGGAATGCCGGGTTTTTATTTCTAATTTCTGGGTGGATACAAAGCTGCCTGTGTTGGGAGGCCCCTGAGGGAGGAGCATCGCCAAGGGCGAGGGCAAACTCACAAATAATGAATTGAGTTTAAAGACTGTGGTCAAATGCAAGGAACAAGTGATACTGATCGTATATGTAAGGGGCCTGGACATCACACCAGCTGCCATGGGGTTTGATTAATGAGGCATTAAGGAGATCGAGTGACACTTACAGCTAGTTACTTATGGTGCTAATTTCAAAACACTTTGTGATAGACAAAGAGACTCTGCTCATAATGCAGAGTAATTTGTGGTGTGTCCCCGGCAAATGCATTTAGTGAAGCAAATATAGTTATGCAGAATTTAAATTAAGGTTGACACTAATGTAAACAGAGCCCAAGAACCACTGTCCAATAATTTGATGAGGACACAGGTTTTAATCAAGCCTCTTCCACTAAAATAGCAATTTAAATCCCCATCGTTTAAACTGGATAAAATGCTTAAGCTGGGAAAGCTGGGGATTGCGGTGGGGAGGGCAATAAAATTTACTGGGGAAAAAAAATTTTTAAACAGAAACACAATATCTCTTGGGGAAAGTGTGACCCCACACAGACCCAGCCTAAGGAGATGCACATCATTTTAAATTGCAGGTTGATGTCAAGGCCAGAATCTATATGGTTTGATCACATTTTAGCTTGGAGTGTTTCCTCTGTTGTGAAGTTAAAATTTGATTATAGTCTAGTAGAATTGATCTCTGAATAAAAACGCTCCTGAAATTAAGAAGAAAAAGTCGAGACTCAGAGGTTCCAAAGCATTTGCTTATTCGGAGAATGTGTTTCCCATCCCATTCTTATTTGAAATGAAAAATCCCCCGTTGACTGGGAGGTGGGGGAAGGGCAGACTTACCCAGCCCAGGCTGCCTTCCTGAGAGGTTGACTTTTCCGGGGTACCCTCACTCACACAAGGCTTTGTCTGGAGTTGCCAATTTATCTTGGAGTCACTGGGGGAGGGTGGGGGGGTCAGCCGACATTAACATTAATGAAAATGCCAGCAGCCTGGGGTCAGGGGGCCCAGGAAGGTTTTGTATATGGGAAACAAAACCAAACAGAATAAATAACAATTTATTCTGTCACTGCTCTTGCAAGGAAACACAAGTAACAGTTTGGTGAAGTTTCTTAAGGCCTCTGGACTTGACTGCTGCCTGAGGAGTGGTCAGGTAGGGGATCCTCAGTTCTCCAAATCACACTCATAATATGTCTTCCTTGGAAAAGAATTTCTTCATTGAAGTGTGCTTCTAAGTTTGGAAGAAAGGGCCAAAAATTATTGGGGGGGGAGTGGAGCGGGGAGACAAGTGCCTCCAATGGAAAGTGTTCTGAAAAGGCCTGTGCCTTTTCAGTTCATGGCCACCCATCTTCAAGTCAGTAGGGGACATTTGGGGGTGAAGGTGAGCCAGGCAGAATAGATCCAGGAAGCTGCAGCCACACTCAGGCAGCCACACAGCTAGGAGTGACAAGGTAGGGTAGCTCCATTTCCTAGGTTGTTCCCTCTTTTTATTTGTTTGTGTGTTTGTGTTTGTTTGTTTACTTTTATGTGCATTGGTGTTCTGCCTGTAAGCGGGTCTTTGTGGGAGTGTCTGATCTTGGAGTTGCCACATGGGTTCTGGGATTTCAACCCAGGTCCTCTGGAAGAGCTGATGGAGTCCTTAAGCTCTGAGCCCATGAGCTGTGTCCTCTTTAATTGAACCCCACAGAGGGCATCACCATGTGATCCTTTGGGGCTAGGGTGGGCCATCCCAAACTTACTCCCTGTACACATGCGGAAGAAGAAAAGAGTTCCCTGGTGATGTCTCTAGGACATTAGAGAAAATGTACTGAACTCTGCCTGTGTGTGTGGAGAACAGTTCTGAGCAAGGGGGTCTGCACAGTGCTCTCTGATGCTATAGAACTCT